TTATAGCAATGTTATAGCAGGAATCATATCCAAATTCATGACCAGAATATGAGAAGAACAACGATTGGCCTGAGTGCAACAAAACGTGCCTGGATGGTCAGAATGACGATATATGCCGTGCTACACGACAAACTAACTGTATCGACACGACAAACTAACTGGTATCGTTCTCAAACACAGAGTAATCGGCTCTGAAAATGAGTGTAGCACGTGCGCGCGGCGGGGCGAGAACCTATCACGTGATCATTGATCAGCCAGTGAAGGTGTCACGTGACGCTGCTTGGTGCAGGAAATGTAGAGATAAGGACGTTTTACGTAGCTTATCTGGTCGGGTGTGACCTTTTGGTATGAGGTGTCCTGCTTCGACTGAGTATTATTCCATTTCTGGTTCGTCTTCGTTGGCCGTCGACCGTCGTATTATCTAAGTCATGACTCGCATGAGCGATCCTTAAATATACATTATCCGCATCTCACTTTTAACCTCGTTTAATGTGATCCCAATTCTTATCATTTTGTAATGTGTATTATCCATTTATCATACATATTCGTTAGTTAGCACGCGATCACACGTGTTATACTGTCCTATCTACCTCTATATTATATATAAGACTTTTCTCTATATATGTATATAAGACTTCTCTATATTATATATAAGACTTTTCGCTGAATAAGAGATTTTAAGATTTGAACTTGCACGATAAACAGAAGTGGATACAGATTTGGCGGGAAGAAGTTTACAACTTATAAGGTTAGTTTGTGTTGTTGTGTTGCATTGTTATTCAAATTAAGGTTTATCAGAAGTCTTAGTCATCTGACATTTATCAGCGGCTCTAAATGCAGTATAATATTAGGAATTTTAAATTTTATGTAATGTTATATTCAAATTATGTGCAATAATTAGTCAAATTAAAATGTACACACCGAACGTCAACAAACAGACATCTTAAACTTACGATGTGTCTTTTTGGTCGACCAAAAACAGACACTCTCGATCTGAGGTTTGGTAGAAAAGCATGTTCTTCCCCGACTATTTCCGCCTGTATAAACGGTAGTTCTCCTACTGAATCCTCCAAGTCGGACAACTCCTCCTCCTTCAGCATGAACACAACGGCCGCTTTATAAGTATAATCAGATTGCAAGCCCTAAATCGAAATTAGCGGAGAGTCAGGACTCAGGAGGTTTCAAAAACATTAAATATCAGCTCTAAACTTTTCGATCTAGCTTGAAATGTTAGCTGTAGTCTGCTGAAATCTAAAAGCAATAAATAAAAAGCAATACTAACTAAATGCTAGCAAGACGTGACGGTTATGGTAAAATAAGATCGCTAATGGTGGCCATGTATGCAGTATGACATCACCGGATCGTGCAGTGAAGCACAACATAATTTAGAGCTTATATAACTTATAAGGAGTTAGAACTGATCATATGGATCATATGGATCATTATACACACTGACAAACTCGCAAATGAGATTACATAATACATATCCAGTACGTCCTAACCACCGACCCTGGGCGAATAATCAAATTGAGGAGACCAACACTAACGAAATATGGATTTACAAGGTCCCAGAGTTATAACAGCGTAGAACTGGAATTAAAGCAGTCCCGGTTACTTTTTATCACTGTTGCTTGCTAAAGTAGACCAGCACGTTACATTAGCATCTTTATGCCAGCTTTAGTAGCTTTAGTAGCACAAGTAATTAATCAACACTGGATTCATGCGGTCTGGAGTAACCAGTGGGTAAAATTCCCAGCAGACTTTTTGGCAATTTGCCCTCAAAATATTGTTCTCGCCCACTTCGGGCGCCTCTTAAATTGTGCCGCAGAGTTTCAGCGCTGCTGCTGGATCATTACTCCTATGGAATATTATGTGCCGAAAGTAAGCGAGCTTATTGAGAAGCATTAAAGGCGTGCACAAATTTACCAACAATCCTTTGCAAAGGATTGTTGGTAAATTTGTGCACGCCTTTAAGGCTTCTCAATAAGCTCGCTTACTTTCGGCTCGCTTACTTTGTCATGACAACACTGCGATTTGAATTTTTGGCAGGACTTCGTAAGCTCTTTCTGTTATTTGGGTAACTTGTAAGTTAAATAATTGATGATGAATGGAATATCATAAAATTGTGTTCTATTGAAACTAGTTGTAAAGTTTTTGCGAAAGCGAAACGAATATATTTTAACTCGAGAAAAACGCCTTATCAGATCCGAAAATTAAATGAGGACTTAATGAGAGACAGGCCTGTTAATTACCCGCTGAATAATATTCTCGAAGTATGCGAACATGGTAAAGGACCTTTAATTACTGTGAGAGTATCATACACCTGTCTGAAAATTACTCTGTCATAAACTCTATCTGTGTACTAAATTACCTTGACGGCAAACGATTCCCGTATTTAAATATCCTGGCTTAACCGCTCCAGCTTTTGTTATTATACGTTTAGTGAGATCAATTTATATATTTAAATTAAAACTATTATTTATTATTATATTTAAATTAAAATTATCAATTGCTGAGATTAAAGCCAATAAGCGAGGTCATCATCAGTCATGTGATCTGTGTGTTTTAGTGTGATTGTGTAGTTACACTTTGGGAATAATGTCCTTACTCCATATCATTTACACTTTTCTTAAACTGTCATACTGGAAAAATAGTACATTGTGTACTACAGTGAGTACAATAAAAATTGTGCCAGACCTCGCGTGGCTCTGTAATAAGCCTTATGTCTGCTCTCTGAAGAAACACTGTCTGATTACTCACTAGTAACCTTATATGGTAACCTTGGTAACCTTATATAGACTATATTAACCTAGTAACCTAGTAACCTTATATGGTAACCTAGTAACCTTATATAGTAACCTTGGCAATGAAAAGCTCTCCCGTTGAAATTTAAAAAGCATCTTATCATTTCAAAAAACAAAGTGGGCCGACGTACTGGTGTTGAAATATGAATCAGAGTCATAATGAGGCTGCATTTCTCTGTTACACACACGTGCACAGTGCAGAGTTACCCACTGGTTACTGGAATCTCTCAAAGTCTGAGATGGAAACATATCAAGTGCCGTTCTTGTAGGTTTCTTATAATTGTTACGAGGCCTGCAGTTGAATAAACTGCAATGTTTTAAAATAGACTTTCGAAAGTCCGGCCACGCAATATAATAATAATGAGTAGTAATTTGTAATGAGCAATAAGTAATTTGTGGTTGATGTATCGGTAGATGAGTATCGTGTTTTCTGGTTCTTCCCAATTGAACGATTTCGCTGGACAAAATCTACACAAATCCGACTTATACAAATAAATCGTTTTTTGCGAATAAATCATTTTCCAAAGCAAAATGAATTCTAATCTCCGAGAGCAATCTAAGCGAAGGAAAAGTAATGCTCTAAACGTAGGTATGACACAGCATGAGAAGTTATTAACATTTCAAATTCTTGGCATGCATATACCTGACGTTCCGAGCGATACATTTAAAAAATCCGTGATATATGTCATTTAAAAGTTATTTTTTAAATTGATTAAAGAATTGATGTTTGAGTAAAATTCCTTTCGAGATGTTTTATTACTTTGACACAGGATGTTTTATTACTTTTTTCCAACAACTACGGACGAGCACTCAGCACATATGTCTCTGGTTATTCACGATTAAGGAATATCAGATAATATTCTATATTCTATATATTCTATATTCTATGATGATCATGGTTCTGACCCCAGGATCTTGTGCATATGTTTCTGGTTTCTCAAGATCTTGAGCACATGTTTCTGGTTATTCACGATTGAGAAATATCAGATAATATTCTATATTCTATATATTCTATATTCTATGATGATCATGGTTCTGACCCCAGGATCTTGTGCATATGTTTCTGGTTTCTCAAGATCTTGAGCACATGTTTCTGGTTATTCACGATTGAGAAATATCAGATAATATTCTATATTCTATATATTCTATATTCTATGATGATCATGGTTCTGACCCCAGGATCTTGTGCATATGTTTCTGGTTTCTCAAGATCTTGAGCACATGTTTCTGGTTATTCACGATTGAGAAATATCAGATAATATTCTATATTCTATATATTCTATATTCTATGATGATCATGGTTCTGACCCCAGGATCTTCATAAACCTTGAATGTAGCAAAAACATGTTTCACTCTGTGGCAGGTGGCTATTTAAGGTCTTTACAAGTTGAAAATGCTAAAGAAGACGAACCCCTGAATCAATCTCTTTGTTCCTTTATCATGTTTATTATGTTTATGAATTGTCATGACGTACGATGCGAACAGCATAACAAGTTTAATTCTTTAAAGTATTTAAAAATTGATAGCAACGTAATTTAAAATGTAAATATTATGATATATAATAAACTTAAAGTGTTGAATGTTGTAATGTGATAACGTTGTAACAACTGGACAAATATAAATAATTATTAAAGATAAAATACTGAACCTTGTTGAATTATACACATATTATACACATATCACCTGTCTTTAACAGACACCAGTAATAACTTCCTAAACGATATTCTACCTTACAGAGGGTAAATGTTTAAAGGCAAGGCGTTCCAAGGAAAATGACTCGTGTAAAGTAATGAATTATTATGAAGATTGAAGTTAGAATCCATGTAAAATTTCTTCGGAATCTTGTAACTTTTTATCCAATGAGTGATATGTTATAGCATAACCTGCTCACGTTTCCGCAGAATAACTTGATTCTCAAGTGAAGACCTATTTGCAGTCATGGTCAGAAATTTTGAACCGCAGTATTTTTGTTCCCTACAATTATTATAACGAATGGTTGCTAAAAGAAGCAATCATTCTGGTTGCAACAAATTCTCATATTATTGACAATTGGATGAATGGTTAATATTGTGCGATGGGGCTCATAAGCTCATAACTAATAATTATCCAACCGACATCACATAACTTTATCATCAAGGTTAATAGAAACATGACTAATAAAAAGTGTAATACTGACCGGCTTGCGAAAGTACTGACCGGCTTGCGAAAGTGGCTCCTAGCCGCCCTGCTGACCCTCCTACCAGCACGACTAACAGCACTAACTGGAGCTCGGAGACTCCTGGCACTCTTGCTAGCCTGGCTGCTGACACTTCTTCCCACCAGATTAGCTTGTTCTCGTATCTTGGTCCTGCTGACTGACCTGCTCAAACTCCTGGGCATACTGTCTTCCTGTGTCACCGCTTCAGTGTCTTCAGGTACCGGCTCCATCTTGATTCCACAAGCAATTCACAAGCACAACCAAAAAGGACGGGTTTCTTAAACAATGCTCAACTTCCGAAGCAGCGAAACTCTAAATGCACAGCATTCCAACTTAGGGAAAGCGTTCTGTTATTGCAACAAAATGAATTATAATCGAGGTTGTAGTAATTGAACTTCTATGTCATACATATCAACATCTACCCTACTGGTGACCTGCTCCGCGCTTGTTATCAGATGTCCAAGTTGCCTCTACCAGGCCCGAATACAGCCTCCACTAAGCCTGAATGTTGTCGTCAAGTAGCTTAAAATAGTGAGAGGAATGTTACTCTAGAGACGGACACCGTCTAAAGTAGGTTTAAAGTTTAAAAATCACAAAGAAGTACTTTTGTGATTCTTGGGGAAGTTTCAATGGTAACAGGAAATAGTAATCTATGATCTACGGTTAGTTTTTTGGGATAGGTCATTAAATACAGATCCCTGCAAAATGCATGCGCATTTATATTCCATAGCTGTGCAAACATAGTTTCAACCCAAAGGAGCCTAAATAACTCGTCAAAGGGAAGCCCTGACCCCTCAGCAAGGCTAGTGTTGACATCTCCTCAGCTTTTGATACCATTAATTGAGGCCAGTTTCATTACAAACTGGGTATTATGTACCCTATTCAAAAATCGGATAAGTTTCAAGTTGCCAGTAAGGCTTCAGGACTGTTTACTATCAACAGAAGCACTTTCCAAAGTTACAGTTTCTCTTTTTTGTCTATAGGATGTAATTGAAGTCTATAAAAGAGGTAAGGCTGCTTAGTCAGTGTTTATATCCATGTCGACGTCTTCTTTAACTGTTGCCTTTGGACTTTGCAATTATATAGTTGGGGAAAACGCACTCAACTTCTAGAAGCAATTACCGGTAACCGGACCTTTAGCCGATAAAGTAAAAATAACTTATTGCATATTGACTAGCTTAAAGCTGATGAGTTCACCTAATTCTAGTCACTCCAGTATTCTTATTAACAATTTGGTCGCATGTTTTGTACTAATTTTCTCAAACTGAACTCGATAAAATTTAGTGAATGAGGAAGATATAGATGCCGAATTTTTTTCGAACTGAAAGAATGTGCCGAATTCAGCGAATTTTTCACAACAATTTGCCGAACTCCCCAACTATGATCATGAGGATATCGAAATACACTGTCTTTCGCAAATTATGCTTTTGGAAATAGGTTAATGTAAGACGCTGTACTCTGTTTCTTTTTTCAAAAATATAAAAAGTCTGTGAAGTTGGTAATAGCTCATCTTTAGACTAGACTTTAGAGTTTAGAGTCATGAAGCCAATACATATCCGTTATGTTGTACGACAACTAAACATCGGGTGCATACAAATAGATATCGAGGAAAAATGATGAGGAACTATATTGAATCTTATCTGTGGTCCGATCATGAGACGTACTGTCCGATCATGAGATGTAATGTTACAGTTAAGATATTTCCCCTGTTGGCTGTTGAAGCATAACGAGACGGAGAATTGCGGCTTCTTTTATCTGGGCTTGTTCTAACCCCGATAGGTTAAACACAGTACAGGGTGTTTCAAAATTTTTGTACCGATAAAATATTTGTATATCTATCAAAGGTGAAATAATGTGAATTCCTTTATCGTTACGTTAATGTGACCGAACGTAAATGTTACCATGTGTAAATGGTATTCACTATAAATGTAAACATTTTAAAAAGGGCTGGTAACACGGTAGGTACTAACCGGTTGTGGCCTAAGGTGGGCTCTGTGAGCCACCTTGCTGACCCGTCCCCGTAACTTCTCCATCTTTACACACCCGGTATAGTAATATCAGTCTATCAGCACTGCTACTTCTACCATCCAGCTTTCTTTAGCTTAGAGGTGCAAATACGAATCAGTACAAGGTTATACGGTATGTTATATAATTATACCAATATAGAGCTACATACCAATATATACAGGGCCTTATAGTTACTTATATTAGCAGCCCTATATTATGTGGCCCTATTTGGGCTGTATAGCAGTACAATATCATATTTCACCAGAATTGAGAAATATCAGAACAAATGTTAATAAGCAGACTGTTGCAACTTTTCGATTGTAATAGCTAGTTGGTTGTTTTCAAGCAAACTGAGATTATATACGAGCAAACTGAGACGCAAAACGGGTAGTAATCTGCAACTATCTTGAAATCGGAGATCATCAACACAATTCTAGAGAGACGTGCGAAAATGCGAAATCCTACAAGACTACCGTAAGCCCGCAAGCAACTATCAAGTTGTCAAATTTTCTAAGATTTAGCATATTTTTGGGTCCGGAAGCGCCAGAACGCCAGGAAGAGCGCGGATGACCGAGCTAGGACCGAGCTATAGCTACCATCAGAAGCTTGTCATCGCCCGTCATTCAGGGCTACCTCCAGTCCTCTTAAGATATAACACAAGCCTCCACTATCTAACACTAACCTCCACTAAGTAACACTAACTTCTACTAACTGAACAGTGAACAACAATGTAAAGCCTAACATAAGAGCGCTCTGCCGCTCTTACTGTATTCAAGTTAACGAGAGATACAAGCTGCGAATACACATAGTAAAGTGGAGTACTGAGTCTCCACAGTCCAAAGTCAGTTTCGTAATGAGGTGTGATGTGTTCGCATAAAATACGGCCCGACGGGCAGCTTACAGCCACATGTCAACAGATAGTACGGATACGACACTTTGATTGGCCCGGCCATTCCTCCATGTGAAGTTACTGGCAGAAGCAAAATAGCATTTAATAGGAAGTTAAGACTATAGGACAGTTGCGGAGATTTGGAATATTTATCTCTGGCATGGGGAAAATTAGCACAATTATTTCACGATAAATTGACGACTTTGTATTGAAACGTTCAAGCTCTTTCACTGTGAGTGTGACCTACCTGTGTATGTAAAAGTACAATAAATTACTCGTAAGTCTGCAAGTCTAATTGTTGTACACGACTAATAATCCTTACTGACAGTATTTACGTGGCTGGGTCAGTACATGAGCACCGTTTAGGACAATTTCGATTGCTGTCATGTGTTTATTGTCATCATCGTGTTTCGGACACACAGGAATTTGAAGGTCTTAGATTGTTACTCAGCAGCTGGTGGGACCCTTATTATATCGCAAAAACCCATATTATATCGCAAAATTTCAAATTACGGAATTTACAAGCTTCTTTACAATGCTATAATAATGCATCGTACAATGTATCAACACTAGAAAAAAGAAGGAGTCTCGTGTCAGTCATGTCAGGGGGATCTCAAGCCTCCGCGGTGCATTGTGATCTATAAGTATGAGAAGCCGTTCAGGACCAACAAAAGACCAAGTTCAGGCCCGTAAATCAGCCGAACAATACCAGCTATACTAGTCGTGTACAGAGTTAGTTAAAGTATGGCTTATTCCACGAATCACCCCTTCATATCACTGAACACCTGGCACCCACACATTTCAGGTCTAATAGCGACTGCTAGATGTTAACCAGGTTAGTAATTCTTTGTCACATCACAATTTACTGCCCAAGGCATAAAATGGGGCTTTCAGCACTTGATAATTTAAAGTCTTCCTTACTCGACCAGGTAGTTTACCAGCTTGTGAAAATCACACCACATCTACCTATTTTTTCTCTATCTCTGCCTCTGATACTACCTCTACCAGCTGCCTCTGTCTAATTTGATTTTCATTTAACTTTCTACATTTAGTATATTGGACTGTGCTTAAGTGACCAAGGTCTGCGTCAGACAAGGTCAGATATATTTTGAGTTGCTGCAGGCTGCATCATGAGTACAAATACAAAGAAGTATTAAATTTATTAACTTTCAACACTTCTATTTAAAAAGTAATTCTGCTATGTCAAATATGCTTATGAAGCAGATGTTTATTCGGTGAGATCAGACATTTCGTTATTGGATCCTTGTAATCCTTGTCAGCAAATCCAATTTTAAAATTCTTTTTTAGGCATTATTAAGTTTATGATTTTATTATTCTCCCCGTATCCAGCACGCACAAAGAACAAAAGCCATATAAATTGTAGGGTTCCTGGCACTTAACGTCCACTGTCCAACACCAAGAACAACCTCATGCCCTCTGTTAAATGGCTGGTATTTTGAGAACTGTAACTAACAGGGGATTTAAAACTTTGTAACTGTGAGATAAGGGCTCTGCCGAAGTAAAGCAGCACGTTATAAAAACGCGCGTTCTCAGCACATTCCGAATTCTTCCGCCGCCTGGAGCGCAACACAAAGCGTCAACACCAACAAGAATTCTCAAGGCAGCAAGTTTCTAAAGCATCTCGAGATCTCTATGAAATAATATGTAATATATGTAATAATATGTGCAACTGTTAACACTAGATTATCACTTCTCATTCCACGAGCTATCAATCAGGTTTACCGTGGAATCTGGCAGTTTCCTCACATTGTCGACACAAAACCTCCGTTAAATTAAGTGAAATGTAAAACCTAAGTTTTCTCACATTGTTTAGATAGAGAGCAGATTAATTTGGCAGTATTGAGGTGTTCTTCTGTCACTGAGCAGCTGATGAGAATTCTCTTCAACTTAGAATATTCGGAAGATAATATGGACTAGAAAAGTAAGCTGCTCGCTTATTCTTTACTTGTTTATAACAGGAAAAAGAATTACGGTGACATTACAAAACTAAACCACCTGGCATCATTTGTTTTAACTTTTGATAGACTTACTTTATTAGATGTTCATTGTTCATGTAACTTAGTGAGGTAGTAAAATTTTAACTAATTTGCCAACTTGGTGGCACAACCGGTGTTCTTTAGACTGAGCATTGAGCATTAAGAAGGAATTTTCAACGTAAGGTATCTTCTGTTCAACTTACTGAATACTATTTTACTTTAGATTTGTTTGGAGAGGCGAATTATACACAGATTAGGATCTTGAATTCTTCGAATAAAATATCATCTTTAGAGAGCCTCCTCAAATTATTTTGTACATAGTATAGTTATAATAGTAGTGTTGAAAGTATTAAAACAAGTAATAGTATTAACTAATATTAAAAC